CTGCCACCGCGGCCCCTCCCGCCTGCGCCGCCGTCCTGCCGCGAGGGCTCCACTCCGCTCGGTGGGGAGGGAAGGAAGAGGACTGCCCTGCAGGACGCTCTGGTTCTCTGCGCCGCCGCCCCCTACAGGGCGGCCAAAGCGGAACAAGAACAACAACAACAACAAAAAAGCGGCCGTGCCGCCCTAGGATTGGGCAGAATGCCGCCTCCAACAATCTGCCGCCCCAAGCACCAGCTTGCTCAGCTGGTGCCGGCCCTGTGTAAAGAGAACATTTACCGGTCTGCAGCACTGCTGTAGCCTTGATAGTTCCAGGATATGAGAGAGACCGGATAGGTGAGCTAACCCTTAAATGCCCACTTCATTTTAAGTCAGAGGTGGGCAAACTATGGACTGGGGGCCACATCTAGCCCTCCAGATGTTTTAATCCGTCCCTTGAGCTACCGTGGGGTCTGAGGCTTGCCCCGCTCTGGCGCTCCAGCTGGGGAGTGGGATCAGGCTCTTGCGCCACGCCGCACGGCTCCCAGAAGCAGCGGCATGTCCCCCCTCCGGCTCCTATGCGTAGGGGTAGCCAGAGGACTCCGCATGCTGCCCCCACCCCAAGCGCTGTCCCCCCAGCTCCCATTGGCCAGGAACCACAGTCAATGGGAGCTGCAGGGGTGGTGCCTGCAGACAGGGCAGCGGGCAGATCCCGGGCTACCCCTATGCGTAGGAGCCGGAGGGGGGGACATGCCTGGCTGCACCTCCACGTAGGAGCCAGAGGGGGGACATGCCGCTGTTTCTGGGAGCTGCTTGAGGTAAGCACTGCCCAGAGCCTTCACCTGACCCCTTCCTGCGCCCCTTCCCCAGCCCTGATCCCCCTCCCACCCTCCGAACCCCTCGGTCCCAGCCCGGAGCACCCTCCTGCACCCCCAACCCCTCATCCCCAGCCCCAACCCAGAGCCAGCACCCCCAGCCACAGCCCTCCTGCCCCCCAACCCCCAATTTTGTGAGCATTCATGGCCTGCCATACGATTTCCATACCCAGATGTGGCCCTCAGGCCAAAAAGTTTGCCCACCCCTGTTTTAAGTGGTCTCCTGCAGCATATGTGAACAACTTGTATTTAGCTTAGACACTCTGGTTCCCTTCCCCAGACCTGAAGAAGAGCTCTGTGAAGCTTGAAAGCTTGTACCTTCCACCAACAGAAGTTGGTCCAATAAAAGGCATTACCTCAAACATCTAGTCTCTGCCATATCCTATTACCTGTTTTTTGTATGTATAAAGCTTCCAACTTTAAAAAACTAAATTGAAGCAAAGTGTCTAACTAGTTAAATTGTCAGGCAGACTGAGGTGTCATATGATGCAAAAAATTAAACAGAATATGTATTTTGAACAGTCTTTAATTCATGTAAAAGTCTATTTTAAACTGTACACATTTTAATACTTACAAAATGATATCTTCACATCTTTGGAGTCATGTGTTACACAATACGCTCCATAACCAGACATCAAACCAAAGAAGAGACCAGCAGCCAAAGAGACTATACTTCCTGCAGTAAACCATTAAGGAATATGAAAATGAAAATGTGAGGAACAACTGAAAAAACAGACTACAGAATATTCTTCTTCTTATTATTATTATTAGACAATTTACTATTTTGCTGCTACAACTAAAATCTGAGATGAACTGGAGTTTTCCCACATTTTGGCTATGAATTACTCTGGAAAAGAATAATTTTTACTATGTAATGTTTCAATGAGTAGGTCTTGTATAACAGCCTGATAAGAATAAAGTTCCAATGCTGGGTATTGTGAAGTCCATACCCCAGGTTCTCTATTAGGGTATGTCTACACTAGAAACACTATAGCGGCACAGCTGCAGAGACAAAAGGGGTTCTTCCATTACTATAGTACAGTGATCCCCAAACTTTATACCTAACGCCACCCCTTACTCTGGTCCATGCTCCCCCACCCAGGGCAGGGAGTGGGGCCACGGCTCTGGGAGGGGAGGGACGTGGACAGGGGTAAGGAGGCCAAGGCTGGGACCACAACTGGGGGCGGGAGTGGAGCCCTGGGTGCAGGGCTGGGAGCTGGGACCCCGGGCCGGCAGCTGGGACCAGGGCCAGGAGCGGAGCTGGGTCACACTCCCTCCCCTCCCCGCCCCCTATGGGGACTGGCCCATAGTGCAGCCATGCCCCTTCTCCCCCGCAGCCCGCGCCACTTCCTGCAGCTCCCATTGGCTGGGAACGGCGAACCGCAGCCACTGGGAGCTGTGGGCAGCCGTGCCTGCGAACGGTCAATGTAAACAAACTGTCTCGCGACCTGCCAGCAGATTACCCTGATGGGCTGCAGGTTGTCCACCACTGATCTAGACAGCAGAAGCAGTAATTCTTTCCTGACTTGGTCTGAACTACTTGTCAGGATCTGATTCATGTAGCCATTTACACTTGTGCAAAGTGGATTTAAAATACCATCATTCTGGTTTAGGAGCAATTTATCCCCACTTTGCATTGATGTAAATGACTTCACAAGGTGTAAGGCAGTAGAGAATCAATCCCTCCATTTCCAAATCCTGCCACCCCCGCATTTACCTTTGCGAGTATATCCTACAACACCGCCAAGAGCCACCACTATCGCATAACCAAAACCAATCCAGTCAATCGCCATGATCACAAATCTAAAAAAGACAACAAATTGCAACACTGAAGAACAAATTCTGCTTTAAAAATAGATTTCCTGTTTAGGATTATGAAATGTTATCCAGGAGCACTCCAAACAATAATAAATAATGAGTTACAAGTTTCAGTACAGCAACAATACTCAAAATGTGCATGGGCTTAAACTGGCAGGCCCGCCGACAGCAATTCCGGGCCCCACAGCAGAACAGTCAATGGGCCCCTGGTCCGACTGACATTTAGGCAGTGTTGCACCTGCGCTGGCCCAGCGAGAGGCGACTAGTGGGAGGGACACAAAGGGGGGCACTAGCTGTGGGGGGAGGGGAGGAGACAACACGTGACACCCCCACGTAACCCCTCCTGCATGACCTCCAACGTGACTCCTCCCCATCCCACCCCCAGCCTGGGGCCCTCACGCTCTCCCCGCCCCTCTTCCCCATACCAAGTTAGCTGGTGACAAAGTCAGATTCAGGAGTCACAATTTGTCAGACCACTCTGTTTATTAGCAAAGCGCTCTGCTAATACACCCAGATAATGTGAGTACCATGCAAGACTCAAACTATCTTATTTATACAAAAAAAAAAAGGGGGAGCGAACTTAACAAGATAACAAAAGGAAGCAGAACTGATATGTATATCTAGCCCCAGGTAAACTTATCTTATTTCCTTACTAACTATTACCGATCTCCTGTTAATGTCCCACCATTAGCTTAAGTGGATCCATTGTTTCATACTTTAATGTTTCTCTTCCTGACAACTATATTTCAACATTCCTTATTCCTGCTTAAAGGAACATACAGCATTTCTTTAATCCATTCTATTTTTACAATATAATTAATTCTACTTTTACAATGGGCATGGGGCTCTGTCCTCCTGCTGCGCTGGCCCCGCTCCCCCAGGCTGTTCGGCTGCTCTTCTGGTAGCCAGGCTCCGGAGCCACTCCTGGATGCTTCCTGGTGCAGCACAGCAGCTGCCTGGGAGAGTGCCTGGCTGCGGCAGCAGGAGGCCACCCCTCCCGCCCAGGTTCAGTGGCAGTGGCCCATTGAGCTGTAGCTCCCCTGCCCTCCCCGGCATGCTCAGAGTTGGCTCCTGTCCCCAGAAGCTGAACCTGGAGGAGGTGGGGGGGGAAGAGGGCTGCCACTGTTGCCGCTCCCTGCCTTGCCCAGGCTCAGCTTCTGGGGACAGGAGTTGACTCTGAGCATGTCAGGGAGGTCTCCGGCTCGCTGGGCCACTGTCCCTAGAGAAGCTGAACCCCAGGGCAGCTGCTGCACTTCACCTGGCCGCAAGAAGAGAGGTTCTGGCCCTGCCCCTTCCTCTCCCCAGCTGGGGCTGGCTGCTGGGTCAACAAGTTGCCCGAGCAGGTGTCTGGAGAGGGCAGGCGGGCCTTTGAGCCCTGCAGCCTGCCTGTGTGATTTAAAAGGGCCCAGGGCTCCTGACCGCCACCACTACCGCTGGCACAGAGGCGGTGGCCGGGGGCCCCCGGGCCCTTTTAAATTGCCCGGGACCCTGGGCAATTGTCCCCTTTGTCCCGTCCCCCCGTCCCCCCGTTGGCAGGCCTGACTGTGTGGACTGTAACCCTTGTCCCTTCTCACATCTTCCTATCTGTCTATGCCCCCACCATTTTTTTAACCTTACACATTATGGCATATCTAAAATTAGGCTCCAGTCCTTCAGAGACTTATGCTCATGAGTAAGTCCTTGCAAGATTAGGGCCTTAGAAGCTATAGGTAGTAAGCTGATTGGGGTAGGGAGCTCGCTCTCAGGCTAGGTCTACACTACCCGCCTGAATCGGCGGGTAGAAATCGATCTCTCGGGGATCGAATTATCGCGTCTCGTCAGAACGCGACAATCGATCCCTGAATTGACGCGCTTACTCCACCAGCGGAGGTAGGAGTAAGCACCGTCGATGGGGAGCCACGGAGGTCGATTTTGCCGCCGACCTCACAGCGGGGTAAGTCAGCTCCGATACGTCGAATTCAGCTACGCTATTCGCATAGCTGAATTTTTGTATCTTAAATCGACCCCCCCTCCCCCATAGTGAAGACCTGCCCTTAGAGGCACAGGGAGGGGAACAAACAATCTCTCCATGAGTAAAATGGGGACAATGATACTGACCTCCTTTGTAAAGCATGATACAAAAACATGCTTTGAGATCTGCTGATAAAAAGTGCTATAACAGAGCTAGGTATTATTACTGTTCTGTTCCTTCTGCAAAGTTCCTTGCACACTTTTGGGTGCTATACAAATAAGTCATATAATTCACCAAATACAGAATTACAAATAACAGAGTATTACATTAAAAATCCCATAGTAACAACATGAAATGTGTAAAAAAAATCATGCAAAAATTTGCTATTCCTAAGTAGATAAAATCTCCCCCCTTCCCAACCGAAGAGAGAGCCTCCTCTTTTCTGCTCACTCCTTTCCCCCATCTACCCCGGGTTGTGTCCTGGGAAGGGAGGTTTTCTTAAATGTTAAAAAACAAAACACAGATTAGGCAGGGAGAGAGCTGATGGAGCATATGTTATAAATTAATCACCAACATTATGTGCTAGAGGCCTACAAACCAGACAGGTAGAGACATGGTTTGAAGAGAGTACAATCTAGGGCTCCTAGTCCTGCAATGAATCAGCACGGGCACACCTTTGCCCTAGCAGAGAGCCCCAAAGCTGCCAAGATGTGTCCTGTGGTCTGCCTGCCCAGAGCTCACTACCCAAAGGCCCCATTACACCAACACTGAAGCGGTGAGTCGCTTTACTGGACAGAAGTAAGTGGGAGTGAGACGGGGTTGTTCAAGTCCAGTGGTGTTTGTCCTGTCAGCACTAGAGAGGGGGGCACAAATGCGCACTCTAGAAGGGGGTGAACCCGAAAGCAGCCCAGCTCCCCCCTGGTTAGGGTGCTCTAGTAACGACGCAGGCCAATACTGCGCGTCTCAGCCTGCTGCGTAGGCCTGCCGAGACCCTGCTCTGCCCAGTGCAAACGGGGGTGTGGCCGGGGCCGCTCTCAGGCACAGCTGGGTGATGGGAGAGAGCAGGGGGCGCCCCCCTTTCCGTGCCCTCCCAGGGAATGGCAAAGCGCTGGCGCAGGGCGGGGGTCGCGCTTTGCAGACCCCGCAGGGCTGCAGCAGAGACCCCGGCTCTAGCTCCGCGGGTACTTTCACCATCACACGCGGGGGAGGGAGGGGGGAGGTCTGAGCAGCCGGGGATCCCGGGGGACAAGCTGGGCACCTCTTCCCGCACACCTCGCGCCTGCCTCCGCCGGGCATTAGTAGCGGCGCGTTCATTTCCTCTCCCGCGTCCCGGCTGAGGACTGCAGCTCCTCCCACCCCTTCCCCGCGCCTCCGCAGGGCGCAGAGACACCGACGCCGCCTGCCCCTAAGCCAGGCGTCCGGGCTCCTTGGTGAAAAGGGGGAAGCGCCCCTACAGCCCGGCCGAGCCCAGGAGCCCTCTGTACCTTAACAGACCTCCCCGGCTCCAGCCTCCAGCGCCCTCTACACTCTCCTCCGCGCGCCTCCTGCTGCAGCTGAGCCGCTGCCCCTGCCTGTGGGAGGGCCCCGGGGCGTGCACCGGAGCGAGCCTGCTAACAACACTTCCAGGCCTCGCACTTGGTTCCTCTCTGTGGTAGTAACACAGCGGCTTGAAAAACACAGGGGCGTGCTGCCACCTCATGGGAAACGTAAGGTATTGCCAGGCCAGCAGCACCCACGCTGCCCAGCCTTTTCTTGCCTGCAGCTGGTGCTTTGCCCTGCACTAACACAGAGGCCTTAGGTGAAGAATTCTGTATATATTTTTACACACACGGCCAGACTTCAGGTTGCTCCCTTGTGCCTGTGCTTTCTGAGACAGTCTAATTATACGCTCACATACTATTTTTTCCACTGGCCCAACCCCTGCTGCAGTCAGTGAATGATTACATTCACTATTTCTTTTTATCTTCTTAATTCATAGAATCATAGACCTGGAAGGGACCTCGAGAGATCATCTAGTCCAGTCCCCTGCACTCATGGCAGGACTAAGTATTATCTAGACCATCCCTGATAGGTGTTTGTCTAAACTGCTCTTAAATCTACATATGGCTACGTGGACCCTCTGACCACATACTAAACGTTCAGTTTGAAACAGCAGAGGTAAGAGCACAATACAGAACTTTTAGTTTATGGTAGAAAGGTCTGTAAAGCCAGTTAGTGCCCTGTTAGAGCACTGTAGATTTTACACCCCAGCTTGCTATGCACTAGCCTGTGTACTGACATGTCCTTATAGTGATAAGCTACATAGATTTAGTCTCAAAGAGCTGACAAAGAGAAGGTTAAGGGGTAACTTGATCAGTTTATAAATACCTCCATGGGGAACCAATCTTTAATAATGGGCTCCGCTGTCTAGCAGACAAAGAAATAACAAGATCCCATAGTTGGAAGTTGAAGATAGACAAATTCAGACTGGAAATAAGATGTATATTTTTAACAACGAGGTTAAGTAAACATTGAAACAATTTACCAAGGGTTGTGGTAGATTCTTCACTGATGGCCATTTTAAAATCAAGATTGGATGTTTTTCAAAAATATATGCTCTAATATATTGAAACAAGAATTATTAATTCTGTGACCTGTGTTATGCAGAGGGTCGGACTAAATAATCACAGTGGTCCCTTCTGGCCTTACAATCTATTCATCCAGTTCTCCAGGGCAGCATTCAACTTCTTCAACCAATACCATCCTTTCTTTCTGTAATCCCTCTCATTCACTACACACTTTTCAACTTCTGCACCAAATAAGGCAAAGGTGCTAAAAACAACATCCTCCTTCTCTATACAATGCTGATTCATTCCCAGAGCATAGTTCACTCTGTACTTTGAATGAGGTAGGGGTCCTGTGGAACAAATAATATGTTAGCATGTAATTAAAGATTGTATTACACACAAGGGGGCTTAATTAAGATTGCAAGGAAACCTTAAATCTGGCATTTCCTAACTTCTGGGTGTTTGACTTTACAACCTTAATGTTCTTTTAATGCAGCTTTTCAGGATATCATTCCTGATTTAAAAAAACCCAACCTGAATAAACAGAAATTCCATCACATGGTACCATATTGACTGCCAGCTTGGGTCATCACCAGTGTTTGGACTTTTAGATCCACAGCATATCCTCTACCACTTGAGCTAATGAAATAACTGATAGCAGTGGTAGGCTGTGTATGTGGATCAGGCACCCACTTGCCACAATCTGCATCTTCCTATCCTTCCTGCCCAGAGCCATCTCTTTGGTATGGCGAATCAGGTCAACTGCCCCACACTTTGGGGGCCTCCGAAACTGGGGAGGTGAGGCGGGAGGGCGAGCGGGGTGTGGAGGCGAATGGGGAGGTGAGTGGCAGGTGGGCAGCGGGGGGGGGGGGGGCAAGGAAAAGCCCTGCCCTACCAGAACCACCTCCTCCCCCCCAGTGCCTCCTGCCCGCTGGCAGGCCCTGCCAATCAGCGCCACCCCCTCCCTTCCAGTGCCTACTGCCTGCCGCGGATCAGATATTTTGCGGCGTCAGGAGGCCCTGGGGGGGAACGGGAAGGAGCAAGGGCGCAGCATGCTCGGGGGAGGGGGCAGAATTGGGCAGGGAACTAGGGTGACCAGATGTCCCGATTTTATAGGGACAATCCCGATATTTGGGGCTTTTTTTTATATGGGCTCCTATTACCCCCCACCCTCTGTCCCAATTTTTCACATTTGCTATCTGGCCACACTATGGGGAACAGGCAGGGCAGGAAGATGCAGGGTGGGCGGGGCCTTGGGGGAAAGGGTGGAGTGGGGGCGGGGCCTGAGCGGGGCCAGGGGGAGTTCACTCCCGACAGATAGGTGCCAAATTTCTATTGTCCTGGGGCCCGCACCCACCTGGGGACAGCCCTGTTCCTGCCCCTCTCCTTTTGCCCCTCTACTCCCCAGCTCCTGCCCCGTCTAACCCCCCATTCAAGCCTATGTACCCCCAGATTGTTTCCCCTCTTCTTCTCCTCCTATCCAGCCCTCCTTCTTTGCTGTCCCCCCTCCAGCTTCTTTCCCCTTCTGTCCCCCTCTCATCTTTCTAGCTAGTGTCACCTCCTCAACCCTTTGGTTCCTGCAACCTCCACTCCCATGTCTAATCACTCCTTTGCATTCTAAGTGAGGCTGCGTCCTCCTTCTCCTAACTGCCTGGGCATCCACTGGGGGCACTGAGAACACAGGAGTGTCAGGCTCTGCGTTCTAGGTGGTCAGGTCTGATGGCTGGAGCGGTGGTCAAAGTCAGACATAGAGTTGGGATCAGGCCAAGGACAGCTCTTAAACCAGGGTCAGGATCAGAACTGCGGTCAGAGTCCATGAACAAGCCAAATCAGGATTGTAATCAGAGCCTAAATACAGGTGAAAGGTCAAAGCCATGTTGGAGTCAGTCAAAGGGTCAGGAGGCAGCTGCAGGGCTGGAGCAGGGTTGGGTGCAGGGCACAGACAAGACTGAAGTTGGCTGGAACAAGGCTTAGGCAAGTCTGGGTCAGGATCAAGGACAGGCTGGAAGTCTAGGGCATCTGTAACACTGTGAGGTACCAACAGAACTCCTAGCCAAGAGATGCTGTTACACAGACTAAATTGTGGCTTCGTTGGTGAGGGTGAAATTCCCTCACTCTATGGGGAAGAGCCACTGAGCCCAGGGCTCAAGTAAATTAAGGGGAGAACTAATGAAAAAACAGGGACAGGAGTGAGGGTCACATTGTCAAAAGCAGGGAGCCAGAGTGGGACACCAAACAGGGAACCCCAGACACCACCCACTGCTCCTCAAAGGCATCCAGGGAGCCAGTAGGTGCGGCCCAGAATGGCTAAAGTCTGGCAAAGTTATAAGCATTTGAAAACAGGGTCTTATAATGGGAAGTATCAGGGAACCTTAGCAATAGGTACTACTACCTTTACCACCTAAAATATGGCAACCACAGGTTGTTTTTTCCCCCCATTCTTCATTCCAGATCTTCCTTTAATCTTCCTGTGATAGTCTTACAACTGGCTGATTCCCACAGAAGAAGAGGGTTACTAGCTCCACAAATGGAGGAATTAGGCCATGAATGTAAGGGACCAGGGCGTGGGTGGTTTTGCCTAGTGGTCACAGCTGGGCTGAGGTCTGCCCACCAGGGACAGGATTTAGAGGAATCACTGGGCCAGAGTTAGAGGAATCATAATGCCAGGTTCTGTAAACAAGAGTCAGGGTCAGAGTCAGGCCAAGGACCAGAGATCAGAGGTAGTACTAGGTTAGAACTGAGAATCAGGGTCAAAGTCAGGCTGCAATCAGAGACCAGGAGACAAGGCAAAGTCTGGTTATGTAGCAGGCCAAGATCTGTATGACTGCCTAGACAACTTCTTGGACCAACCCCTGGGGTTAAGTAGGGGCACTTGGCCAATCAGAGGGACGCAGGTACTGTCACTCTGTCTCATGGGTGCTACCTCCTGCAGTGCCTACTCTCCACAGTGCTCCCTTGCCCTGCCTCTGCAGGGCCATCCAGCGGCACTTGACCACCCCAGGCTTTGCAAACAGAGGTTCTAGTCCCCAGCTCCTTATAAAGAGAGCTTGACCCTGGGAAAAGAAGAACATATGAATCACAATACTGGGTGAGACCAATGGTCCATCTAATCTAGTATTGTGACTAGTGCTAAATGCTTCAGAGGGAATTAACGGGACAATTTCAAGTGATTCATCCCGTCATACAGTCCCAGCTTCTGGAAGTTGGAGTTTTAGGGATGCCCAGAGCAAGGGGCTGCATCCCTGACCATCTTGGCTAATAGCATCAATGGACCTATCCTCTATGAGCTTAGCTAATTTTTTTGAACCCAGTTATACTTTTAGACTTCCCAACACCCCATAACTTTGCTAGATACTAAAAATCATAGACTGAAGACAGACACTGAATTTATGGCTTATTACAACAACCTATAACCCACTAACAAACCCCATCAGCTAACTTCGCCACCTTCCCTTCCCCTATGACTGGATTTTAACAAGCCATTTCACCTTGAAAGTTCCCTTAAAATATGCGTTAACTACTTATGCTAAACAATCTGTTCCACCATATATTTATGAACGGCCTTACAGGATCAGACTAAAGGTCCATCTAGCCCAGTATTCTGTCTTCTGACAGTGGCCAAGCCATGTACTTCAGAAGGAGTGAACAGAACAAGTAATCATCAAGTGATCTATCCCCTGTTGTCCATTCCCAGCTTTTTTGCAAACAAAGGCTAGTGACACGTGATAAGGGGTTGGGGATTTTATTATCTGCTGCCTATTAAATCTGCGGAGGGACTTACCACCTTATCCTACTTGTGAGTCTTTTGGGCTGTACTAAACCCAGTGAGCCACATTGCTAACTTCTGCACAGTCAATGTTGTGGTCACAGGTCATCAAGGGCCCCCACAAAGTACGCGTACCAATGGGACACAAATTGTATGTTTGCTATATGAGGTCACGTGACTGGGGAAATTCAGTATGGGCACCGGTGATCCCGGTGAGAATAGTGTTTTACCTTGTTCTGTTATATTTATCTCCTGTTTAATATAATTATTTAGCTGTGACACTCTGAGTACTTTTCCAAGACCTGAAGAAGAGCTCAAAAGCTTGTCTCTCTCACCAACAAAAGTTGGTCTAATAAAAGATATCACCTCACACACCTTGTCAATTCAGTCACCCAGTTTAGTGAGAGCTCTTTGTACCACAGTCAGCTTTGCATTTAACTATCTTGAGTAATTTTGTAATGTCTACAAATTATGCCACCTCACTGTTTACCCCTTTTTCCAGATAATTTATGAATATGTTGAACAGCACTGGTCCCAGTACAGATCCTTGGGAAAGCCTGCTATTTACTTCTTTCTATTGTGAAAACTGACCAATATTCCTGCACTTTGTTTCCTATCTTTTAACCAGTGACTGATCTATGAGAGGACCTTCCTTCTCATCCCATGGCTACTTAGTTTACTGAAGAGAATTTGGTATAGAACCTTATCAAAGGCTTTCTGAAAGTCCAAGTACACTATATGGACTTGATCACCCATGTCCACATTCTTGTTGAGTCTGTCAAAGAATTCTAATAGATTAGTGAGGCATGATTTCCCTTTACAAGAGCTCTCATGACTCTTCCCCA